AGGCAAAGACTGTCATAGCGGCTGGGTAGGGGATGCCACCATTTTCTCCGATTCACAAGGTGTGATCTACGACGACTACCACATCTAAAGGTCTAAGTCAACACCATGTTGAAGTTTGAGTAAAACTAGTACGTTACCTCAGAAAACATATTTTTTGGACAGGTTAGAAAAGTCGGAGAATCGCTGGGTTAAATGAAGAGCTAAAAAAAAAATAAAATTGAGAAAAAAAATTTATCAATTTTTTAACAAATTTCTGTAATTTTTAAGTTAAATATTTATGGGTCCATCCTCGTACACAGAAAGCTTAAACTTATGCTCATCCATTAAAGTAGCGCCGACAATATGAAGACAATACATATGTTTACACCTTAAATGTCATTTATTTCTTTTCGCTTAGTAGCAAACAAAAAAACATTCATATTATAACCCTTTTGTATGCAAGCTCGTATGTTCTTTAAAATAAAAAGTAGAAAAAACTTGAATGTAGCGAAAGCCTACAATAGTATAGCGTATTTGCTAATGCTGTAGGTAAGGAGTAGTGAAAGTGGCAAAATGATTAATGTTTCTAAACAAACAAGTCGTTGGCAACACTTCAATACATATACAGGAATATATATACACACAATTTTATATTATATATGCAAATTCATGCTAGTAAATCTAACTGCCGACGCATTTACCATATACGCAACTTTCGCACCTTGAAACACGCAAATCCTACGCTTTGTTCTATTTTATTCACTTTTGACACCCTCTGCAACTTTGTCAAAATTTTTGGTTCAGTTAAGTTAGGAAGAAGTTAGCTGGAACACATTTTCTTTTGCTTCGGTTTTATATAATATTTACTATATGTATTTTAGGGTCGAGCGGGTTAAAATCTGTACATTTTAAAAAAAGAAAATTTTTGGACAAAAAAAAAAATTTTTAACACCTTAAGTGTTAAAGTAAATTTTCGAGTTAAATTTTTATTTCGTAAAAAATGTTTGATAAGTGTTCTAGAAGCTGTGGAGAGTCTTCTTTCTGGCCAATTAAAATTTATCAACTTAAAAATTTTTTTTGTGGTCATTATTGGAGTTAAAAAAAAAAGTCTTAAACGACCACATGTTTTCCTTAAGCGTTAAAATAAATTTTGAGTCAAAAACCGTCAAATTCGGTATATTTTATATAAACGTGAAGAGTTTAAACCAAAAATTTTTTTTTTTTGTCCAAAATTTTTTTTTTAATAATCTACAGATTTTACCCCCAGGCTAAGCAAAAAAATTTTTTTTGCTCCACCCTAATCTATATATATTCATAAACGTTTTTTATTTTTCACAAGTGCGTGGGCGCATCAATGGACAGACATAAATTTAATGCGGTTGCTCAAGTATTATACAGCAAGGAGTACAGATTACTGTATCACATTAGCTTAAAATAGATAACAAATCGTCTAGGAAGACCTGAATCAAGTTCTTACATGGATAATATTTTATTTGTGAAGGATATTATGGCTTCGATGCAATCGAAGTTAACCTTTTATCTTGTTTCTCATATACTACATAAGTGATTAAATAATCTCAAAGGTGATTCGAACAATTTACAATTCGCTCGGCACCTTACCATACACCTCTTACTCGTTCTAACTTCTATGGCACTGCAACTTTTGCAAATGACTAATGAAATTAAAACGATTGTTTTTCTACCAAAGTGATGTCCGCTGCAAACCGGTCAAATGTTGAACTGCTCAGCTTGAGCTGTTCAGATCATTATTTACGCTAACAGCAGCACTGTCAGCAGCTACTTAACTACCTTGTAACTTAGAAATATTTACTCCCGACTCATTTGTGACTGTGGTAGGAAAGTTTCTTTTCTTTCAATTTACTTTCGTACTACAACTTTTCGACTTTTCGCTTTAGAAACTTAAATGCCAAATTGCTTAGGCGAAGTTGAGTCAGCAGCAGAGTTGCAATAAAAAATAAAAATTAAATGTCACATTAAAGAGCCTTCAACGAAGCATTCAGTATGCAGGCTGCATAGTTTTTTTTTGCCTGTTGCCGCGTATCAGACGACAGACCAGTCACCAGTTTGCGACTGTCAGCGTCTTCTGGCGAACTGCTGCTTTCTTCTGTACGAGTGCATTTCCAACATCCGACGGGCATCATATTTTTCAGTAAAATTGTTGAAGCTAATCTGGCCCAGCAGCATATCCTTAGATGAATGCAAGGGAACAGGAAGTTACGGCGAGAGAGTGGATTTGGGTTGCTGAAAGCAAAAATCTCTTTTCACCTGAATGCATCAGGATAATAGTAGCTATTGCATATTATGCAGCTCTACATGCAAATATATGTGTATATGTGTGTGTTGGTAGTCATCCTGGGCCAACTCACCTCGGTGGCATTTGACTTTTCTACAATAAATCAATTTAAATCTACTTGCTGTAGTAGTAGAACGTAAATCCGTTTGCTGAAAAGTAGAAAATGTGAAATGTGAGCAGTAGAAATCAGGTTTGATAATCCATAAAGCGATTTAGCTCGACATTTACTGCTCCCACAGCTCCTGCCATAGCCCTCTGTTCACCTGTTTCATGCTTTGTTGGTGCTGCAATTTTTACTTCGAATTTATCTTGAAAACATTTCCCGCTACTACAATATTTTCAGGCGCTTCGGGCATAAGTTATATGCATATACATATATACACATTATATATAATATATATGGTATGTACTATATTTCATTCAGCTAGCTTGTCGCCCAGTCAGCCAGCTAGCGCTGAAAGTAGCACACAATCAGGTATTTTGCATTATTGTGGCTGAGCAGGAGGCAGCATACATATGTACACATAGACATTTTTATTAAGTAACAAGATTTGCTTATACTCCAATTGTGTGGTGTGTGTGTCTGCTAGTGCTTATGAATTGTAGCTGCTTCTTAGGCATTATATGGCAGTTATAGTAATATAGCAAAATCGGCTGCTTAGCCGGGATTGACTGAATGATATTTTGTGATTTTTGGTTTCACTTTGATAATCACGAATTTGCGTAGCCAGCTGTAACCACAATGTAAAGTAGTCGCATATTAGCAGACATAAAAATGTTATAGTATATAGATATACATATTATCAGCACTATACGCTATGCAGGTCATTAGCTGTATATTAACATTATTACCTAAGTGGAGATTTGATCGCCGAAATGCTACAAATATTTCAATTGAAAAGGATAAGCCTCAATGAACCAGAGTATTATAGAGTTCAAAAGTGGAAATTTTATGCAAATAAAAAACAAGAAGGTGGATTTCGTGCTGTTAGGAGGTATAGTTTCAGAGCATCATGGCGCAAAAGTTATTGTGATATATATAAAAATATGTATTACGTGTAAGTATTGTAGTTACATTTAAATATCGTAAAAACACCATATGTAAACAAAGTGAATTTGAGAGTCCTTAGAGCCGACCAGAGAAAAGAGGCATTTTAACATTAGCCCGTTTGCCATGTTGTCACTACAGAATACTCAGTTGTCGCAAGGCCGTACTAATCAGCTAAGTTCAATACAATATATTATATATATTCTAATTATTGTCCATGAAAGCAAGTAGAGTCATTGTCCGTGAAGAAGTTTAACATATCGACAAGGCTGAGGCAATGACTCTCTCTACAATAACAATTGATGGTGGAGAGAGCTGGGAAAGTTAACACTCGATAAAGGTTACCTAGCACGTAGTCATAGCCGGAAAAAGGTCAGGCCCAGTGAATAAAGGTACTTGGCCAGTTCAACGTATGAAAACCCTAAAATTCAAGAGACTCTCTTTAACGAGGGGTTTTGATTAACTATTGCCATATATTTTCAGGATTCAGACCAATAAAGCGTCATTTAATCAGAGATGGCTATCAATATATTGTAGTAAAAACCTAAACGCCTTCAGAAAGATGTGAGAATTTACTTAGATAACAAAGCAGCAATACTGGCTTTGAGCTCGCCCACTGACACGATTAGTAAAAGATCTTTTAGTCTAATTATTAATTTTATAGTGCTACTTGTATTGTTGCCTGGTTTCAGCACATATTTGTTTGGGAACGAGTCGGTTTAATAATATTGTACAGTAAGCCTTGAGTGAGCTCGGAAACCACACGTGCTTGCGCAATTGCAAGAACTTTTTGACCCAGAGTAAACAGATTAACTTAACTTGACTTTAACCATATTTATTATGTTCCAGTTGTAAGGTGCCTTACCTGGCTTGGTTCATTGACCATACATCCGGTAAGATCAAAAATTCTCCCGGAGGCAAATTGTGGAGGTTATAGAGAAATATCTCTCTCTCATAAGGTTAAAACGTAGTTAACACCTTGCAGCATGCTGGCGAAGCAGCTGGCTCTGATCTCCGATATTAGTCGCTTCAACTGATTTGTCAGCGCTATGTCAACATAAATAATGAATTTGCGGATTTTTTTCCATAAAGAACCATTTCAGTACACTAAAGTGCAGTTCTTTGTATGTACATGCATACGTATACCATATATTGTTGGAGATTATTTTTCAGCATAAGAATTTACAAAATTTGTTAAATACATATACAATTTTGAACACGTTAATTGTTAACCTTCGGACATATATTGTACAGGCACTCACATTTCGCAAGTTCTTAGTCGTTTGCGCAATTATCCTTAGATCCCTTAGAGTAAGATGATTAAACAAATTCCATCTGTTCTTTTCTTTCGCTTAATAAAACGCATAACTACTGGGAACGTTGAGCGGTTTGTAGGCGGGGCATCGACACACGTTGTTGCACTACTGATTCAGACCCATATATAATATTTTAGAAGTGGAGGCCGTTGAAAAATTAATTATAATATTATGTTAGTGAATTATAACTTACCATTGAAGTTTTCTAATGTCTGTACATTTTTTGCTTGTTATGGGAAAATTCTCATTAAGGTATGTTATGTTATGTTAGGCAAGGTTCGTGTTCTCGATTACCTGTTATAACATATACATATATGGCGTAAAATTTTATCGATTCAGTCACTTGACACTCTTAGCTTCATTAACGTCGTCGTTAAAATAATAACTCAAAATAAATTATTGCTTTTACTTACATATTTTATGAGTAACTTGGAAAGTAGCAAATAACTTAAATGTTTTTTTTTTTTGGAATTTTACAACGCAGTGTATTCGCATACATGTCAAAATAGTAAATTCCAAATTATTTTCGTCACAAAAAAGTTTCACTTTGTTTAGATTAAATTTATATGAGTTTACGAAATAAGAAAATTTACTGGCCGAGAAAGGCGATTTTTGGCAAAAAATTGTTTAAAGGCACACAGCCACACTACTATGAGGTATGGGTTCTCTCAGAATTTCAATTATATATCACACTGATTGACCGATATTTTCGGTATTAGGTCAACTATAGGCACTGGGATTCACATATTCGACACCTAAGGGTTTGAATAGTTTTAGTTTGATTTGGACAATTTTTAACTATAAAGTAGCACGCTGCAGGGGCACTAGGCGTGCAAAGATTCATCCCGTTATATTTATTGTTTCTGGCTTTGTATACTGAAAGGTGAAAGAATCATATAGAATTTAAGATGTGTTATATGAGAAATGGGCGTGATTGTACAATAGTTCGATTTCGGCCATGTTTGCACTGTAACACAATATCGTCACGAGAATATCATGTACCAAATGTAGCAAATTTGGTTGAAGTAGTTCTGCAGATATGTGATTTTACCCTAAATAGGGACGGTGCCACTCCCAACGTTTAATTTTAATATCGGCTCCTATAAAACCCTCTTGTACCATTCCGGATGTAAATTTTAATTTGACTGATGCATTTAGTTATTGATTTATCGCACTTTTAGTAGTTTTTAATAAAACCGTTATATGGGCAGTGGGGAGGTTATCATCCCATTTCATTAATTTTTACATGCAAAAAGACAAAAATATGTATTCTGTGTCTCATATAGCTATATGATATACATATATATATACATTAAACTTATTAGGAGGCGGGGCAATGCCGCTTCTAATTTCTACGCAAGTTACGGCTTGCACGGCCAGATGGACGGACGGATCGACGGACAGACAGACAGTCAGCCGGATTTCAACTCGTCTCGTCATCCTGATCATTTATATATATAACCCTATATCTAACTCGATTATATACAAACAACCGGCAGGTGAACAAAACTATTACACTCTGTAGCAACATGTTGCAAGAGTATAAAAACTAATTTTTTACCGTAATTTCGGAATAGGTCTCCCTTAGAAAATAAATTTATTAGTAAGTGCCGCCTCCTCTTTTCCTTCTGTGCCTTTCATTAATGAAATATTTACCAAGTAGTTGAGAAAATTAGATTAAATACATCCCGAAAGTTGGGAGCATGACCTTAATAGAAATTTTTGCTGATTTTAAAAATATTTTTTGGTTTTGCCCAGAACTTTCTTTTAGGATCGTTGATTCAAATGTTGTTGATACTGATTAGCGAAAACTTTTTTGCTTTGTATATTTTGGAAAACCTTATCGCAATTACTCATAAAAATGATGATAACAATTTTTTTAATTAATTATCCATAGTTCTAAAAAGATAGCAAACGCGAGAAAATTGTGTAGCTAAAATACGATACTGAAACCGACTAGTAGAGTTTAGCAAAGAAAATGCCCACAAAACAAGAAATTAAAAAATTCTTGAATTATTGGAATTTATGGTAAAAAAGCTTGATAATCAATTGTAAATACCTCGTCCAAAGTGTTCACATATTCTGTTTCCCTAGTATTGAGCATCCTGTATACTCAGGATCAAGAACTACTAATCTTTTTGAAAACAGAATATAACTTTGTGGAGATATTTTCGAAAATTCTCACTGTTGAATCAATCGAAATTAACTTAACGCCATCATTGAAGGCAACGTCGCCACAAACAATATTTATGTTGTAGATTTAAAGAAGATTGGAAAATAATTTATAAAAAAATTTCGGTTTTGTTCCGCTACTTTTTTGGAATGAAAAATACATTACTTTTATGAATATATAAAATATTCATAATGTGATGATTATGTAACAAATAATATTTAGTAGCAAATGTAAATCTTTGCAAAAAAGTAACATTATAGAGAATTTAATGCTTATCACTCCTGGAATTTTGCAACGAAATACTGCAAAATTTTTATTATAATCGGATTTTATATAGCGGTGCTAACATATTAAGCACTCTATACAAATTATATAAATAGTTGTGCATATGTGTCCAATTTGTCAATAACAATGAATCATAATTAGTATTTTGTACAGCAGTTGACATTATGTGTTACTAACCAATATAAGTATGTATGTACCATATATATATATGTACCATATATTATATTTAATTGTATACCTGCCTCAGCGTTAATCAGCTAAGGAGATGTATGTGATGATTTGTATGTGGCATATGTATTCAATTCCAGGTAGCTGAGTGAAGTTTGTTTTGAGCATTTTTCACGGTTGGCCTTAGAGCTCCATGAGCATTGGAAATTCCTTTGTTAAAAAATCCCAGCGAAAAGGATTTTTTTCGCTGCCAGCGGGTGGGTAAGTTTACCGTAATTTGGGTTATTTGGTATACATTTTGTGAATGTTACAAATATGTTGGCTTTCGGGCATATGTAAGAACGCCTAAGACATACTTTCGAAACTAGTATAAAATATTCGCATGCTCCTCGAGCAGCAGCAGTCAGTAGAATTAGCTGTTAGACGATACAACGTAGTAACAGAGCTGAAGCATTTCGAAAAAATATAATAGCATTTGAGCGATTAAATTTTAACCAATTAACTTCACGGGAATTAAAATTTATGTATGTTTATTTTTTTAAAATTTATTGATTAAAAATAAAAACAACCAGCGTATTGAAAAGTATTGACTTGATAATATATTAACATCATACACCAGCATTTTGTGACGACAGCAGCGCATTAAATAAACGCAGACGTTAATATATACGCAACAACAAAAACTAATAATAATAATATAAGAGAGCGCATATTTATGTGGTTCCGCGGGAGATAAGAAAGAATTTCATTCATCTCCGAGCAAGCGCAACGAATCACAGAAAAACCAAAGTCAAACAAAGCCATCAAAATTCAACGCAAAGAAACGACAATTTACAAAAGCAACTAACAACTCACAATCAATCAACACATTATACAAAAAGTGTTGCTGTACATTTGTTATTGGCGCATCGGAATACAGTAATCATCAAAGCTGGTTTTCCCATAGGCAAACTCAAGCGTTAGCGAAGGCAGTCGGGACCGGTCATTGTGTGCGCGAGACTTGCTGTGAGCAGTTCGCCGACGAACTAATATCGGCTTTGGAGTGTGTTTGCTATCAATTTCGCTAAGAATAAAATTACTTTTTACGCAAATTATAAAAATCAAACGTTTTCGTGACATCATAAACATGACGTTTCTGAACGTATTTGAATTTCTTGCCGCCTATGTGATATTTATCGCACGCGCACGCTCTTATCCCGCAACTGTGACGCTACCGACGGAGAATAATGCGACACAATTTGATGTTTTCCAGTTTGCCGTTAACGAGAGCCATATATTTAACATACCGCCTGGAATATTTACGACATTCATACCACTGCCAGCTGAAGGGTCGCTCAATGATGGCATAGATGATTATGTTCCATATCGCAGCGATGTGCACGATAGCTTTTCATGGGCGTTAATTAAGCAAATACTGGTGTCAACAACACCGCGTCGTAATGTGATTGCAACTGCTGCTGCTGTGGGTGTTGATTTGCCTGAAGATGCAGAGAATATCGTATTTTCACCCTTTTCCGTGAAGCTCGTGCTCGCGCTACTCACTGAAGCCACAGGTAATGGCACGCGTTCACAGCAACAACTACTTGCCACTCTGGGCGATATAGAGTCGCTCGAGAATTTACGTAATTTTTATAGTATGACGCTTACGGCTTTGAAGAAGAAACACGCAGATTACACTTTACGCCTAGAGACACGCCTCTATACAGATAAATCAGTGCAAGCGCTACCTTCATATGCTAACCTGTTAAAGTCAGCTTATCAAACACCTGTCGATAATCTAGATTTCAACGACGGCGTCGCGGCGGCTGAGAAGATCAATTCCTGGATTGCGCGTGTCACGGAGGGTCGCTTGCAGCAATTGGTTACAGACGAAAGTGTTACGAAGAGCGTTATGCTGTTAGTGAATGCCATCTATTTCAATGGCAAGTGGCGTCGTCAGTTCACTGAAACGAACCCTGGCACCTTTTATCGCACCGCAACCGATCAATTGAAGGTTGCTTACATGGAATTGACCGATCACTTCTATTATCATGAGAGTAATGAGTTGAAGGCGAAAATTATACGACTGCCTTATCGTGGCCAGAAGTTCTCGATGTTCATCGCGTTACCTGATGAAGGTCAAAACATTGACTTGTTCATCTCTCGCATGCAAAATGAGCAATTGAAGCATATGCAATGGATGACAGAACGCAGTAAAGTGCGTGTGGTCTTGCCCAAATTCAAATTCGCCTATAAAACCGATCTGAAAGCAGCCTTGTGTCGCTTGGGCGTAGAGGACATCTTCACCAAAAACGCTAATTTAACCGCTATGGCTGCAAACGAAGACTTACAATTGATGGTTTCAAATATACTGCAGAAAAGCGGTATCGATGTCAACGAAGTGGGCACAGTAGCTTATAGTGCTACGGAAGTAGAAATTGTAAATCGTTTTGGCGCCGATGAAGAGGAATTCATTGTGAATCGACCGTTTGCCTTCTTCATTGAAGAAGAGAGCACGGGGAATATCCTCTTTGCCGGTAAAGTGATGAATCCTACGACATGAGCGATTCTTTTTATTTAGTTGCTTAGGTTTTTAGCGTGTATTATGTAAATAATTTGTAATCTTAAGTGTTAGTGTAGCCCAGCATTAGTTAATGTTATGTGAAAAATTAACATATACGGTGCATTAATAAAAAACTTAATATTTTTAACTGTGTAACAAGAAAAATAAACGGATATTATAAGGAAATATTTATAAACTAATATAATTTATTTTTTATTAATCCTTATCTGACAGTCTTCTGTTGAGTTATAAGTGCACTTATGTACTTGTGTTAAAGCTGATAAGCTCGAAACTTTTAACAGAGACGGGAAAGTTTAATTGGAAGTTATCTGCTCAGTTCCGCATATTTTTAATTGTGACTAATATGCCTTACATAATGTAAGTAAATAGCTAGAATTTAAAGCAACCACAGAGCAGTGCTGGAAAATTACTTGCACAAAAATCTAAAATCGAAAGCAAAATAATTATGAGAAAATATAGACTTTTAGATTTTTTTTAGATTTATTGATAACGATTAAGATTTGCGGTTATCGCGTTGTCACTCAGCCTCGCAGTAATTCTCTATTGAAAGCCTGTCGATGGCCGTTCTATGGAAATAATGAATAGAAACGTTTCGGCTTTTCAAAAGCGTAAAGCTGTGGGCTATTTTATTAATGAAAATTTAAATATAATTAAGTATATATTCTGCAAACAAAACAAAACAGTCAATTTAAAAATGTCTGGTTCAAACAAAGACAGCATTGACTAATAAGCCTCACACAATGTTAATGAAGAATTCGGCATAATGAGCCCATTATTCTTAAGCGTTTAGTAAAGGTGATATTCGGATTGGTTTTGTTTTTAAAACAAAGCTCCAATAGTTTGTAAAGCTTCAATAAAAATAAGAGTAACAGAAATATTAAAGCCGCCTGCTCGTTCTAGACCTTTTAATGAAATTGACTATTGCTCATATAATGAGTATGAGTATGTACAATTATTCCGTGAGCAGGCTTTATTAAGTTTGCCACGAAGTTTGTAACACACAGTAGAAGGCAACGTGGGAGATATTATAAAATATATACCATACCATATTACAAATATACATTACAAATTATTAGCGTAATAAGCTGGGTCAATTTAGCCATGTCCGTCCGTTCATCGGACTATAAATGCTCTCTCTCTCAGCTTTTGAGTTATCGATTTAAAATTTTATACACCATACACGGCGCTAAATTAGTTAGGTTATATACCTATGTTAATGAAAACATTGAAATGTCACATATGTATTGTATATTGACTAGTACAAAGCAAAAAGTATATCGGGTGAATTTAATGTACATTACTGAAGTATATACGAAAAGATATACGCGGCATAAAGTGTGCCAAAAATAACGACCATCATTATATATAGTATATGGTAGCTGGGGTAATTGGTTTCCAATTTTCCCCATTTTCTGCATTAAACTATAATTTATGTATCCAATATAATATATTCGCTTGATGATATACTTATCTTACATTACCCGATATAAACAAAACTACAAAATTTTTACTATACATTTTTTACATGTTTTTGAATAATATTTAAAGAGTTCAAATCGTTTATAATACTAAAAAAAATTCCAGGCCGGCAAAGTGGGCTGTTTAAAAAATATGTTTCGTTATTTCTTTGTTTTTTTGCCGCTCGGAATTTTTTAAAAATATAAAAAAAAATTCACAAATCCCTCGTAGTGCACACTGTTTCCAAAAAAGTAGTTCATAGAAAAACGAATTTAAAGTTTAAGGAAAAGGCGCGCGTCACCGGAACAGTTCGGCGGCGCATCTCAAAATGAGCTGTAGCTCCGAAAATAATAAAAATTTCAAAAAATCTTTTTAGGGACATAGACATACTACAAAAATATGCAAAATATACCACTTAACTATTGACGGATAATTCTGGATTTTTAGATGAATTCATGACTTTTCGCGGGCGGAGCAAATGTCAGATTTAGCCCTTTTTCCAAGCCAATTTCCTCAGAGCGCTAAGTATCGTTGGGATATTTACAATTTTACTCTAGTAATATAAGGTTGGAAGGTATCTCCCTTAGCGCTACAGAGCTCGTATCTGGCAACACTATACATAATTTGAAAGGTCTTGACATAACCTACAAAACAAAGCTATGCATTATTAGTTTGGATATTGCGTTTAACAGTTATAGACGTGTAAACATGGAGTTCACTAACGCCGAAATTCGCGCTATTTTAAAGTTTTCCTTCGTTAAAGGCAAATCCGCTAGAGAAACGTTCCGTGAGATTAATGGTGTTTTGGGGGATGGTACTCTATCACTTCGAACCGCGGAGGAATGGTTTCGACGATTCAGAGCCGGTGAAAACGACACCATGGATAAGCCAGCCGGCGGAAGACCTGTGACGACAAATACCGATCAAATCATGGAATACATCGAGTTAGACCGGCATATGGCATCTCGTGACATCGCCCAGGAGATGGGAGTTAGTCACCAAACCATTTTGAACTATCTGCAGAAGGCTGGATACAAAAAAAAGTTTGATGTTTGGGTGCCGCATAATTTGACGCAAAAAAACCTTCTGGACCCAATCAACGCCTGCGATATGCTGCTGAAATGGAACGAACTCGTCCCATTCTTGAAGCGGATGGTGACTGGCGACGAAAAATGGATCACATACGACAATATCAAGCGAAAACGGTCGTGGTCGAAGGCCGGTGAATCATCCCAAACAGTGGCCAAGCCGGGATTGACGGCCAGGAATGTTTTGCTGTGTGTTTGGTGGGATTGGAAGGGAATCATCCACTATGAGCTGCTCCCATATGGCCAGACGCTTAATTCTACCATCTACTGCGAACAACTGGACCGCTTGAAACAGGCGATCGACCAGAAGCGTACAGAATTGGCCAACAGGAAGGGTGTAGTGTTCCACCAGGACAACGCCAGACCACACACTTCGTTGATGACTCGTCAGAAGCTACTGGAGCTCGGATGGGAGGTTTTATCGCATCCACCATATAGCCCGGACGTAGCGCCAAGTGATTACCACCTGTTCCTGTCCATGGCGAATGCCCTTGGTGGTGTGAAGTTGAACTCAAAAGAGGCTTGTGAAAAGTGGCTGTCCGAATTCTTCGCAAATAAGGAGGGGGGCTTCTACGAGAAAGGTATTATGAAGTTGCCGTCTAGATGGAAACAGATCATCGAACAAAACGGCGCATATTTTAACTAAATCCGATCACTGTAACACTTTTTATAAAGCATTGAATGAAGAGCAAAAAAGCGGGAGATATTTGACAACCTTATATATTACTAAGACGGATAGACCGATATCCGAAATGCAACTCATCTCGTTACTTTATCTTATCGATTTGTATACTGCTCTAGGAGGTGCCAAAAAGACTAGAGATATACACTGGCCAAAGAAAGTATTCGACATATGCATTTTGTTTATTTATTTTTGAAATATTCCTTAATATAAACAAATAAAAGACCAAAAACCAGTGTTTTTTAAAACAATAATTTATTTAGTTTGTAACTTGATGACTTTTATGATAATAAAAACAGCAAAACTAACCAAAAAAGCAAAAAACTGAATTTCTTGAAAATTAAAAGCAAAAAAAATATTTGACAATTCATGTAAAATCCAAGTTAAAAAACAAAAAATCATTTTTTAATATCGCGTAGCTCTTCCTTTTCTTCGGACTACTTCTTTAAACGTCTTGGTATTGATTCGGCCAACTTTTTTGTTATGGATGTGTCTATACTGTTCCACTCTTCCATTAGTATCTGCTCCATTTGGGTTTTGCTCGTAAAATGACGCTGTCTTAGTCTTCTTTCTAAATGATCCCATAGAGCATCTATGGGATTTAGATCTGGACTTTGAGGAGGCGTTTTAATTACTCCAGGGAAATTGTATAAAAGCCAAAGCTTTGTATTTAATGCGGAATGCTTCGGGTCGTTATCTTGGTAAAACTGGAAAGTCGCTCCGATTCCGAGATTTTCTGCACTAGTTCGCAAGTTTCTCTTCAAAATACCAATATATTGCATGTGGTTCATGATTTGGCAAATTGGTTCCATTTTTCCAACTCCTGCTGCTGACATACACCCCCAAATCATAATGCCTCCACCTCCGTGTTTCACAGTTGCCACTGTATTTCGCTCTTCCAGCTCTGTATCGGGTTTCCTGTACACAATTACTTTGCCATCACATCCAAAAAGATTAAATTTGCTCTCATCTGCAAAGATCACATTACTCCAAAATTCAGCGGGCTTATGTACGTTTTGCAAAACTTAATCTTTCCAATCTATTTTTTTCAGAGATATGTGGCTTCTTGCGCGCAACTCTTCCCCTATAGTCATTAATTTTCAAATAATTTCGAATGGTTTGGGATGTCACATCTATATTTAGGCTTTCTTTAACATTTTTGGAGAGAACCGTGGCATTTGTTTTTGGTTCTTTTTTGACCTGGCGAACCAACCAACGTTCGTCTGTTTTACAAAATACCTTAGGTCGACCACACCTTGGATGATTTTCAACCGACTTCTTATCTTTCCATTTTTTAATAATATAATGAATAGTTGTACGTGGCCTATCAACTAATTCGGCTATTTTGCTTTCGGTTAATCCACTTTTAAAGTACTTTGCGATAAAATTTTTTATTTCTTCAGACACTTCTTTCTTTTTACGACCCATGTTTAATACTTCACTTATTTACTTTAAATGTCGCTTTAAAATTGATTGCTGCAAAACAGTGTTAAGCAAAATATTTAAACCGATCGTTATTTTTTACCGTCAATCATTGGAATTCGCTCTTTTGCGTAATTGTCGAATATTTTTTTTGTTTAAATTTTCTAGGTAATTTAGTTTTTGTGCTTTTTTGGTTAGTTTTGTTGTTTTTATTATCATAAAAGCCATCAAGTTACAAACTAAATAAATTATTGCTTCAAAAAACACTGATTTTTGATCTTTTATTAGTTTATATTAAGGAATATTTCAAAAATAAATAGAAAAATGTATATGTCGAATACTTTCATTGGCAGGTGTATAGGTATAATACCATCTACTATCAACAAAGCTCTCAACCACACTACACTGATTTCATATATAAAAATAAAACTTTATATCTTAATTTGTGGCTTAGTTATAGCATTTCATATTTTTCACTCAACGGCATTTTTTGGATGTGGTAGTGGTCCACTCTTGTGTACTCTCTGCA